GAAAGCAAGAAGCACAGAAGGCTTTATTACAGGCTAAAATATTAAGTATCACAAATTCAATCAGAAATGAAGAAAACTCATTTTTTTAAATGATAGAAGTCAAAAGTCAATTTACAGGGGCCAGCCCTGTGGCACAGTGGTTAAGTTTGGCGCGCTCTGCTTCGGCGGCCTGGATTCGCAGGCTCAGATCCCGGGCACAGACCTATACCCCTCGTCAGCCATGCTGTGGTGCCATCCACATACAAAATAGAGGAAGACTGGCACAGGTGTTAGCTCAGAGCTAATCTCCCTCAAGCAAAAAGAGGAAGATTGGCAACAGATGTTAGCTCAGGAAGTATCTTCCTCAGGAAAAAAAAACACAGTCAATTTACATGTTATGATCAGTTCAAGGAATCATAGAATGTTGGAGTTACATGTTTGAGATCACATGGTCTAGCCTATCACTTTTCAAATTCAGAAACTGAGGCCCTGAGGAGGCAAAGGACTCTCTTAGAGTCTCACCACAAGGGACTGGCAGATCCAGATGTTCTTCTTCAAAATATTGTGGTGTTTTGCTAGGCTTCAAGGTCTCAACCTCTGGGTGGCAAGAGATCCAAGAGTGTATATGCACATTTGGATTTGTTCAATCTGTGTATATTGAAAGGACGTCATGCTATCATTTCTGTCCTTGCAAGGTTTGACACAAACATGTGTCTCCCTTCTTGGAATAGTTGAGAACCGCTACACTAGGACATGATTTATTTCAATTCAACCATTGTTCTGTGATGTACTCTATATTCAAGACCTGTAATACAACACTCCGTGCATTATAAAGATGCACATGATTGTTTTTTCCTGCTCTGTTGGGACTCAAAATCTAATCTCAAGGGGGTTAAGTTATAGATACAATTAACTGTAACAAAGTCTGCTAAGAAGATTTAGATGAGTGGAATAGAGCATACTCATTGAGGGAATAGAGAAGAACTTCATGGAGGCAGTGAGTTGCATTTAATTTGATCTTGAAAGATAAGTGGACTTGTGTACAATAAAAATATACAGTATGGAGTCATAGACTACCTGGGTAAGGTGTCCTTTGCCTTTGAACATCTTTATTCAATGAGAAATTGCCATTTCAACTTTTTTGAATGGGCAGGGTCCCTTCAGGAGTGAACGTAGAGGGGGCAGAAGTTCATGGATTGTCAATGGGGAAAAAATCGTCACCCAAGATAGACCGAGACCTAAGAGAGGGTAAGTATCTGTGCACTTTTACTCATAGAAGGAGGGAAAGGAGAAGACGGGACTTGACCTGGGCTTATCCAGCTCAAAGCAGAACCCACTTTCTCTGGAAAATAAAGAATAAGGCTAAGCTACTACAGTTCATAAAATTCTGAAAGCAAGGCTTAAAAACAAGAATGTCTCAGACTTGTATACCATTACCTTTGGTTTTCAACAAAAGTGCTTCCAATTCATTCCCTCATCTGTTTCCCATAGGAATCCTGGGAGCTAGGCAGGGACTGTACGGTTATCACCATCCTCAGCTGAGTCCTTGAGGCCTGGAGAGGTTACAGGGGTTACTTCTGTCACATAGTAAGTGAGTGAGTGCTAGATAGTGTGCAATAGACTGCATATCAGAGGAACTTGAGGAGACAGGTCACGTGAGATGTTAGATTAGTTAACCTAAGATGTTTGAGGCACCTATATCTGATCAGGACTTTTAGAGATAAGTAGAATTTAGGTTGAATTGACAGAGGTGTGGAGGTAGCCATTGTAGTGGACAAAACAAAATGGAACAAAGGCACAGAGATGGAGAGAGCAGAATATTATATGCCTACTTATGTCAGATCAAAATTAGTGGAGACATACGTGTAGTGTTGCCAAAAGAAGTTTTTAAATAGAGCCAAACATTGTTATAATAACAAATTATTAGCAATAGTAGTACTAACAGCAGTAGTAATCCTTAACAATTATTATTATTTCTATGTGTTTTATAATTTTTCAAGCAAATTTACACACAATTCATGTTAATACCAGCAGCATCTCATGTGAGACAAGTGTCTCCATTTCACAGGCAAGAAAACTGAGGCTTGCAGAGATTTAGTGACTTGTCCAAAGTCTCGCAACTTATGATAAGTTGAACAGGCATTTGAACCCAGGCTTGTGAATCTAAATCCCATTTTCTCTTCACCTGATGATGAAACATAGAAATTATTAGATATCCAGAATGTATCCCCTATTGATTAAATAATTGCAAGATAAGAAGAGGTTTTCAAAAACCTGCATTGAGAAGGACAGGACTCCTTTCCCCAACGAGAGAGCTTATCAGCACATTCCTCTAGCTGATTTGAAAACTTCTGGCTCTCTATAGCTCTCACATTTCCCAGCCCTTTCCTTCCTTAGCTTCCAAGTCAGTTGAAGGCAGTAAACAGGATAATAGGCTCATCTAATCTGATCTAGACCCTCAGTTTGTAGTCACAAAGTCCAAGCTGTTTTATAAGTGCAAGAGAGCTTCATGGTCAACCCGAGTTCATGTTGCTTTTTAAGCCAAGAAATCACCCAGGAAGTACATGCCAATAAGCCAGCACTTTGCTGTAAAGGTTTGGGAAACTCCAGGACAGTTGCCAAATTTCAAAGCATTTTTTTTTTCTGCCTACGAGGGAATCTCATGTCTAGCAACTGACTAGGAAGGCTAATGGGAAGAATAGAACAGAAGACTACACAGGATGGAGAAAGATCATGATTAGCTGGGTTACCAAATTCTGTCGTTTCTGCAGAATTTGCTTAGTTGAATGGGCTAATGGATCTTAGGATGTTTTGTGGGAACCCACCGAAAAGCCTTCTGTACAGTCACTAAAGATCTAAATAGGATCTAAATTAAGAACAGTAGTAGACAGAGACAAAGTTCTCAACCAGAAAATACTTTCATATCTTAGTCTTGATGAAAGCAGATGTCAGGGAGGCAAGAAAGGATGCATGCTTCACAGAGTAGAATATATTTCAGCTTTTCTCATCTCTCACAGAAAGATTGTCATCTATTCCAGTTACCTAACGGTATTTAGTAGTATTCATATTGTATGGCTCCCAAGCACTAAGATGGGAGTGACCAAGAATTCCATCCCAAGATGACTGCAGTCCATGGAACATGCATGTCAACTTACTAAAAACATCAGTGCCTTATCCATTCTCCTTTCAACCACCAGTTTTCCAAAGGTCCTGCTTGTTAATAATTCCAGAGTCAGTGAGGGTATAGTAGAAATAATTTTGAACTTGGATTCAGGAGGCCTAGTTTCCAAAATTATCTTAGTCGGATGTGCTCTTCAGTGATGTATAACTAGAGACTCGATCTCCTTGGGCCCTATGATCCTCATCTGTAAAAGAACGATAACAGCTTTTATGAGAGGATAAATGAGAAAAATCTTTTATAAACTGTAAAGGGCTGTGCTCATATAAGGGCTTGTGAGTCAGCACTCTCCTGTCCTGACTTGTATGACATTGTGATATTGATGGCAAAATGATTCTTCTTGCCGTGAGCCACAGGCAGTGAGCACAAAGGAGTATTTTCCTAGATGATCCCTCTTTATTGAACAGGAAAGTCAGCGCCAGGCACATACTTTGTGAATGAGAGAAGAATTAAGTTGTTTGACTAAATCTCCTTGGGCTGTGGTTAAAAGTTGGCTGAAGCCATCAAATCAGGCCCCAGGAACCACAACTTATTGGACTACATTTTTATTTTTATTTTAAGGTTTTTCTCTGTCTGGTGTGCTACTAGTCGTTTGTAGGCTGGTAGACTTGCATTTTTGAATGGCAGGGTTTATTTTTCCTTTTTTTTTTTTTCCCTTTTTGGTTAGACTGTAGGTAGTTGGTTATTTTTTGTTAAATGTATGTGTGGGAAACCTCTGTATAAGACTCTTTGCTTAATGCTGATTGTGTTAGCTACATGAAAGGCGAACTTCTAGTACAAATTCTTTCTGAACCTATTAGGGTTTAGGTATTTAGGACTCCATGTTGCACTCTGTTCCTTCACCTGATCTTTGTATGTTACTTATGGCATGTTACTTATGTTACTTATAGTTGGGGGAATTGTCAATATCCACGTAGGCCCCTTTTAAATATACTCCATTATGCTATACGCTTATTAAGATGTCTCTGGCAGAACTTAACACAATATACCAGGCATACTTTACTAATTCAATAATAATCATAATAGTAATAGCAAATACTTATACAGGCTTAAGATTTTTTCCAAATATTTTAGTTTTAGTAACTTTTAAAATCATATTTTGAAAATAAACTAATTATATTTAAAGTCATATACTCTCAATATAGAAAATGAGAAAAACATGGCAAAGCACAAACCAACCTAGTTCACTAAACCCTTGAGTTTTGTATTAGAAAGTGCTTTTCAGTGAATCTACAAGTATCTTGTCTTTCTGGTTGAAGGAATGTTTGTTTTTATATTTCTAAATGGGAGTAGAATGTGCAGTCCGCTCTTCCAAATATTTGAGGGACTGCCTCAATTTAGGTATGAATCTTAATTAACTATATAGATTACAGGAACCTGTCCCAAACTACGTGTGTTTTATGTTAAGAGGTTTCATGGGTGGGGGAGTCTACTGGTTTTTATTGCTGTGGAAAAAAATTAGCACAAATGTAGCAGCTTACAATAACATACATTTACTATCTCACAGTTTCTGTGGATCAGGAGTCGGGATAGCTTAGCTGAGTCCACTGCTTCAGGGTCTGCCGCAAGGCTTCCATCAAGTTGTTGATGAAGGCTGGGGTCTCTTCTAAGGCTTGACTGAGGCACTGTCTTCTTCCAAGCTCAGATGACAGAATTCAATTTCTAAAGGCTCATTGGACTGTGTTCCTCAATTCCTACTTGGTTGTTGGCTGGAGGATGCCCACAATTCCTTGCCAAGTGAGCCTGTCCAATACAGCAAATTGCAAGCTGAGAAGGCAATAGAATGAGTCTGCTAGGAAGATAGAAGTTGCAGTGTTATGTAATGCAATCACAGAAATGACACCCCATCACCTTTGCCATATTCTGTTGGTTAGAAACAAGTTCCAGGCCCTGCTCACACTTGAGGGAAGCAAATTACACAAGCCTCTGAATACCAGGAAGTAATGATCATTAGAGGCCATCTTAGAGTCTCTCTGCCAAAGGAAGGAGGGAAGAAAGGAAGGAAGGGAGGCAGGGAGGAAGAGAAGAAAAGTATAGTACTCAATTAAGGGTGAGAATTGCTGCATATTGTATCAACACTTAGGCTATTCATAATGCCTGTTCACATATTAAAAGTTCCAAGAAGTCCTCTTAAATTTTACTTAACCTAGTACTTCCCAAACACATTTGATCAAGAAACTTTTCTGCAGAACAAAGTTTGAGAAATGCTGGATTGTAGAAAAATATGTATATTTTTTTATTCATCCAAAAGATTGGTAGTGAAACTGGGAGCTTGTGGGTTTATTCCTGGAATCCAAGAAATTCTGTATTTATGAATTTTAATGAGAATTTTTAAAAAATTAGGGGCAACTAGTGTGTCGTCTGAATGACCACCTTATAGCCAAGTACTGCCATGAGATTTCGTACCTCAGTGGGTATGGGTGCAGTTATACTGACACATTGGCACCAGTTAATAATACTTCAACGGTTGAAGACTAACAAGAAATGAGGGAGGATGAACTTATAAATAATGCATTAGGACCAGATGAAGGCAAAAATTCATCGTGGTACACTAAGATTTTGTAGTAGTTTCAACACAGAAAAGTTGTGGTAGAATGACTGAGTCATTACACACCAAGATCACTGTAAGGAATGCTGGCTCAAAATCACCTGGGCCAGATCAGTTAGTAGAATATTCACGTGGAATGCAGCTTTTTAGTTTCCACAAAATAACATGAACCATTTCATTAATATTGTTAATTTGAATTTAGTTGGTTTTATGGTCTTGCTTTTATTTAATCTTGTATATTGGATTGGTATTACAGTTGCAGGAAACTAAAAAATACTGTACTCATAGTTTTGTGATTGCAAATATGGAATAAAAATCACAGTATCATAGTTTGTCAGTACTGGAGTTCCTTAAGGATCTTATGCTTTAACATAACCATACATTACTCAAGATTGAGAAACACTCTCTCATCATTTTAATATTCTATTAATTGTGGGCTATGGTGACTCTTTTATTTCAACTGGGCTAATAAACAGTTAGTGCTGTTCCCTAGTTTGACATTTTATTTTATTTTATTTTTTATTTATTTATTTATTTATTTTTGTGAGGAGGACAAGACGTGAGCTAACATCCAATGCCAATCCTCCTCTTTTTTTGCTGAGGAAGACTGGCCCTGGGCTAACATCCGTGCCCATCTTCCTCTCCTAGTTTGACATTTTAAAGAGATTGAGTGGACATCAATTTCAACTATCTATTCCTTCTGCAACCTATGTGTCTTAGACTAGTATGTTGGTGACCTTTGATCTACTCGAGAGATGAGGGGAGTTGTGCCCTCCCCACCACTCCCTCTAGGGGGAGCTGTTGTTACTGACAGACACATATCAGGTCCCTTAGGAGTATTATAAAGAGTGGAAAAACAGTGTTTTTCTTTTCCATTCTGTTTTCTGGTTCAAGATGGTTGCACTCTACTCCATCTGAAGATTCCTCACCCTCGGAGGTCTTGTCCTTCAGTCCTACTCTCTGTGAGGACTGGACCTTGTCAGGTCTAGATTTTGTAATTTCACCACCAAAACACAGCCCCTGAGCAGCACCCTCTGAAAAGCCTGTATGGGGCTAATTTTATGAAGTTGTGGGCTCTTTCTAGGGAAACAGCAGGTGCCTACAACAAACCCTCCTGTGAAAAAAATAATATAAATATTTTGCCCAGAGAGCAGAGAAAAATAAATATTCCAAAAGCAAGACCATTTAGAATCAGGTAGGTGGTGAGAAGAAGACTGGGAAGGAGTTGGGTGACTTGGGTGTGACTGTCCTGATGGTGCATTTTCTACCTGAGTTTCCTGGTGAAGACGTTGCTCTACATACCAGTGATACTGAGGTGTGTATGTCATGTCCGGGGCACAAGCATGTAATCAAGTCATTGCACATGATGTTGTAATAGAGGTAGGAACTAAGGGCTGTGGAGAAGGATGGGTCTAATTGCTGAGAGAATTCTGGAAAGGCTTCTCAGAGGAGAATCCTATGAGATTCCCAGTATGCTTTTCAGGATCATCACTGGACTCAAGTGAAAAGATAGTTTATCAAACCCCAAATACTATACAAATGTAATATATTATTATGACATTATTGAGAAACCAAATGACATTATGAGAAACCAAATGTGTAATTTGTCTTTGCATTCCTAAAAATTCGTGAGGAAAAAGACTCTCCTGAAGTGCACGTTGAAAGGTGTTGGGTGCTCTGTGCTTCTCTCCTTGGGGACGGCAATAACAGAGGAGACAATGTGCTCTGCCCCTTCAGGTGGCCCTCTCCTCTATGAGAACATCACGTTCGTCTATAACTCAGAGCAGCTGAATGGGACTCAACGGGTTCTCCTGGATAACGTCCTGTCAGAAGAACAGTGCCGGGAGCTCCACAGCGTGGCCAGTGTGAGGACCCGGAGACGGAGGGGAGCCTGACGGTGCTGGCCTAGGGCGAGCTGGAAGTGCTTTGGTCCTGGTCTCATTTGGAGCCAGGCAACCGAGCCTGAAATGTCACTCTCTTTAGGAGAAGGACATTACTTTTGGAGGCACTTTTGTAGTTTTGTCCAGAAGTGGACATAGCTAGTGGATCTGGAATAGTGAGTGGCTTAATTTCTAGGACAATAGCCATCCAGCATGTGCCCTGCCTACTATATAAAGTCTCTGGGAAAATCCACTTATTTTAATCAGTAATTAACCCATGTATTAATCATTTATACTCTACCTATTTCTACAAAAGTGGTGATATTTTATAATGAAAATGTAGGGTGAAGGTTAAATAAAGATATCTGTTTTGATTGGAAAATTTAATGATACCGTGATCCTGTAACAAAACGGGGAAGGCCTGATGGTTCTAGGTAGCTTTCCCGCAAGCATATTTACTGCACACACTTTTGCTGTCGGCATTTTCGTGGCAAACGTTTTCACTGCATAACTAATTGGCCGTAAGGCAATTTTGCTGTAAAAGAAAAAAAATCGTGAAAAATAAGAGGGACAGTAATTAAAAGGGAAATAATAAACATAAATAAATGAATAACAAAATTAAAAAGACTTTATAACGAAATACAAAGTATTTGAATATATTTAAAATGTGCTTATGTAGATTCACGGCAATATTGCACAAATAACTGATTTGTGTGTGTCTGTGTGTGTGTGTGTATTACACCTAACTAAGCACTTTTGATCATTCTGTGGGAAATGTGGGTTCAACTCTGTGCCCTCAAAGAAGAGGCCCTCAGTCCTCTTTCTCTTCCCACATAGCATGTTCCAAAATAAGAAACCAATTTTGGGGGCAAATCATCTTCAGCTGTCAGCTCAATGAAGCTATCAATAAAACGTCGCTAACTGGAAGAAATGCTAACTATTTTAAGACCTTTACTACCACGTCTACTCATCACTATATAGACCAGTATGAGGGCTAGCTAAGATTTATATCATATAAAAATGGGAGTAACTGCGAGAACTTCATTAATGGAGAAATGAAATGACAAAAAAAAAAATCCCAATTCTGTCAACCAGTTATTTTATCTTTTCCAGCAAAATTCCCTTACAGCCAACTAGTTATGCAGCAAAAATGTTTGCGGTGAAAATGCTTTTGGCAAAGATGTCTACAGCAAAGATGCTAGTGGCGAAAATACTGGACAGAGGTTCTAAGTGTGGCCTTTGGTTCTTAGCCCTCTGGCAGTCAAGGCAGAAAGGGAGACTAGATGCATTCATAGTTGTCATTAATAAAGCATCTTCTTATATTTTGCTTCCAGGGCATCATGCTTGTTGGTGATGGATACAGAGGAAAAACTTCACCCCACACACCCAATGAAAAGTTTGAAGGTGCAACTGTCCTGAAAGCACTCAAAGTAAAGTCTGAACTTCTTTGGGGTTTGGGTTCCTAAGTGTCAATTCAGGACCTTCTGTGACTGGCAGATACAGGACACAGAAGAGTTTAGAATATAGACCTATCAGGACAGTTGAAGGGTGCAAGTATGAAATGGTACTTTCATTGCTTTTAATATTCCTGTGTTCCTCCATTCAGCCATCAATTTATCAAACTTTATATTTCCTAAATTTGTATCTGACAAATAATATACAATCCCCCTGTCCTCAAGGAGCTCATGGTGGTGGAAACATACCCGAACAAGTAATTCTTCCGTAACTGCAAGAAATGTTGTTAGAGAGGAATGAGAGAAGTGTCAAGAGAGAAGAGAAGAGGGAGCGATTAGCTTCAAATGTTCCCTCTGTGATTAGGAAGGACTTATTTCAATGGCTCATTTTCCTTAAAAGCCACAAGCATGCGGTAATATTCCCACTGGCCAACGCAGAGATGACCATTCTGTTCTGGCTTACTGAAACCCAGTGTCTGTTTTTCTCAAGCCCTCTAATCAACCCAGTGCTATCTAATGTTCTTCTTTTTCTTCAGTTTGGTTATGAAGGCCGAGTCCCACTGAAGAGTGCCCGTCTGTTTTATGACATCAGCGAGAAGGCTCGAAAGATTGTAGAATCCTATTTCATGCTGAATTCAACCCTGTATTTTTCCTATACACACATGGTCTGCCGAACAGCCCTGATTGGTGAGATTCCAGAGTCTGAACTTGTTGCCTTCTACCCACAGTGAAATGAGAAAGAAAACAATGCAAAGCAAAGCTCTATTACATTTGAGACTAATGATTTAGAAGAGCTCTAAATTTCAAAAACAAAAGACACTTATTAATTCTTATCTTGCTGTTCCCTCCTTTTCTCATTTTTGGTCCCCTAAAGTTCCAGAAGACCATTGCTCTGCCTGTTTTCCCTTTCAAATTCATTTCTCCTGCTTGCTTAAGTTACGCAGAAAAATACTTTTCTGCTCTAGGTTTCGCTTTTCCAGCATTCACGAACCTGGGAATTATAGTCCCCGTTATGTCCACAAGTATTGAGTGGAAGCAAAAGGATGAAGGGATTATTGAAAGAAATGTTCTTGAGAAAACAGAAACCTCCTGACTCCCTGCTGTCATGATTTCTTCTCTAGATCTTCTCTTCTACACATTCCTGAAGAGGAGGGGAGGGAAGATGTCACAGAAGTAGACTTTTCCACTTGTGAACTTTCAGCTGAGTCGAATCTTTTTTTTTTTTTTACATTTCATTTCATCCTCTTCCTTTGACTGCTCCACATGAAATGTAATCCATGAAATGCATGGGATTTCTCTATGTATATTCATATCAGAGGACTTTTATAGCTGAAGAGGCAGGTGTGACTTGCCTGTGGTTTTGCATCAAGTTCATATCAAAGCAGGACCAGAGTCTCTTGACTGCTCGTCCAGCGTTCTTTCATCTATTCTGCTCTGCCATCTGTCTCCTCACTTTGTCCAGGGGCACCAGCAATGGGAGAAGACAGACTGTCAGTTTTGCTGTGGGAGGTTACTGCACTCCATCTCTCATTCTTCCCTCTTCCCTTCTCTGGCAGGTCAACAGGACAGAAGAAATGACCTCAGTCATCCTATCCATGCTGACAACTGTCTGTTGGATCCAGAGGCCAATGAATGCTGGAAGGAGCCTCCTGCTTACACATTCCGGGACTATAGGTACAGCCAGCACCTGCTTCAGAACCAAGGTTTTGCCCAACAGCTATCAGAAAACCCATGGATATTGTGAATAACGCTGCAATGAACATAGAGGTGCATATATCTTTTGAATCAGAGTTTTCATGTTCTTTAGATAAGTACCTAGAAGTGGAATAGCTAGTCATACGGTAGTTCTATTTTTAATTTTTTGAGGAATCTCCATGCTGTTTTCCATAGTGGCTGCATCAGTTTACATTCCCACAAGCAGTATATGAGGGTTCCCTTTTCTCCACATCCCCTCCAACATTATTTCTTATCTTTTTAATAATAGCCATTCTGACAGATGTGAGATGCTATCTCAT